GTCCCCCCCCCCCCCCCAAAATCAAACATCTGTTGTAGGATAGCAAACTACAGCAGTAATACTGACAACATGTGGCTCACCTCATTGTTAAACTTCATGGGATACTGTGTATCATCCATCCTGTAATGTAGAAGAAAGAGAAGCTCTTATTGAGACCGTTTCACACAGAGAAAAACCCAGAACTCCAAAAAACCCGAGAGGTAAGGTGCTCTAATACAGTAATGCTGAATCAAAACATCAACTGAGCTGCAAACCCCTACAGATGAATTTAATTTCCCCAGTTTTTCCCCACAGCAGTCTTCTGGCCTACACACAAGACGACATACACTTAGCCTACCTGACAAATAAAATGCAGAGAAAAAGGCTCTCAGATTTACACGAAGAACTCACGCAAATCCGTTTCACTTACTAATTACAAGTCTAGATGCTCCATGTAAATCACGTCCAAACCTTCTGGAGTACATTTATTTACAAGTGTGCACAGTCTCATAACTAAGTGAGCTGCCAATCAGGACTAAATGTATGTCTGTATGTGTCAATGATGCCCAATAAAAAAAAAAAGGCAGCACAGGTAGACAGCTCACTAGGATGCGTGAGACAGTGGATAAAAGTGTACCTTAGTGCTCCAGCCATTCTGTGCTCTGAAGGGTCATCCGAAGCGACTCTGGACTCCTGTCAGGTTGAAAATGATGGAAATGATGAGTGAGTACACGGTGTTCGATGGGCATGTGATTCCCCTGCACATGTAAGTCAGATCCAAAAAGTACTGACTTTTGATGGGAATTTCCCACATACCCGCGCGAGCAGCAGTAGGGACCAAACTTGTACACTATAGATAACTGACATTAATGAACATTGCTCAAATTTTCGTTAGGTTTTCTTATTAATAATATGCAGTGATACTGTTTGCACGCGAGGGAGCATCATATTGTACAGCATCTCTGTAATGTTTTCAAAACAAGCTTAAAATAGATTTCTCTATGTGACCTACTAAGTAACGGAGTCATTATTTCTAAACAAGAAAGCAGAGCAGCATTCTCTACTATATAAAGACCCACATTACTGGTTTCAAAACTGATCGGTAATAATGATAATTTCGTTTTTACTAACTTACATGAGCACTTATCAAACTTACCTTGGACAACCGTGATGTTTGCGTATTCTCGTATAGTTTATATTAGACGTCGACTTTACTAAACCACTGCTAGAAATCTTAGCAAACGCCTGAAAAACAACAACAATATGCACCATCCATCAAACGAATCTGTTCCAGTTTCTTTAATAAATATTTAGTCAACACTCAGCGAGCGTACAAGTTTGTGAATCGATTGCTCTGCTGCTGCTGGAAAGCCCCGACTCAAGGGGAATTCCGCAATCACGTGGCGTGATGGGAGAGTTTTGATTGGTTCTTAGACCAGTCATGATTTGCATGTTCTTCAAAACTTCCGCTCAAATATAAGTTTATTTCAACTGCTAATAAAAAAATGAATCATCCCATAATTAAAGCTTATAGCAAAGTTAGACTATGAACTGTGCAAATCTGATGATCTGATTTCATAACTATGACAATGCAAAAGACAGGATTGTTTTAGAAAGTATAAATATAATTTATTAATATTTTATATAGAAGTTGCATAAGAAAATACAACACCGAATTTTTTTTTTCCACTATGGACCGTATGGTAGACACTACATTTTTATTTACAATTTACAATTTGTATTTAATACATTTTAAATTATAGACAAAGCAACACTAAAAATACATATTTTTAAAGAATATCCAGGATGCAAAAATACTCATGTGCTGTGAAAATTAGACATGATATATGACCTTAAGACAGTTTAATCATAGACTATAAAAATACATGGCATCATCTTAAATGTACACAAATATTCTTCACGACTCTAGTGAGCTGAAGTCTAATATTAAGAAGTTTTGAATGACAGGAATGCTGTTGTCATCACACTGGAAATGGCTTCGGACGGTCAGGAGAAATGTGTTCTTCATGGGGGTCAATATGGAACTAATCCTGTTAGCTACTACCTGGATGCACCTCACCTCTGATGCTGGGGCTAAAGACACACACACACACACACACACACACACACACACAAAACATGACTTTTAAAGTACCAATATTTAAACAAATCCTGTAAAAGTATCATTATACAAATACAAGAAAGTACCTCACCTATGGTCTTATGTAGCTTATCTGGGGGAGTGTTCAGGAGGATCCTCTGCACTAGAGCAGGAGGAAAAGTCTAATATTAAGAAGTTTTGAATGACAGGAATGCTGTTGTCATCACACTGGAAATGGCTTCGGACGGTCAGGAGAAATGGGTTCTTCATGGGGGTCAATATGGAACTAATCCTGTTAGCTACTACCTGGATGCACCTCACCTCTGATGCTGGGGCTAAAGACACACACACACACACACACACACAAAACATGACTTTTAAAGTACCAATATTTAAACAAATCCTGTAAAAGTATCATGATACAAATACAAGAAAGTACCTCACCTATGGTCTTATGTAGCTTATCTGGGGGAGTGTTCAGGAGGATCCTCTGCACTAGAGCAGGAGGAACTTGCACACAGATTTGATCATCTCCAGCTCGCACAGTTAAAACAACTGGCCTACAAAGACAAGTCATATTGAGAAAGTAGATCTAGATAACTAAAGTTTCACTTTACTTATGCAGTTTTAACAATATAAATATTTATTTGTATTATATCATTTTTATTTATACATATAACTAATTATTTATTTCACTGATATTTGTAAATAATGACCACTAAACTGTATAATTGACCTTTGTCCCTGGCAGTCAGTTTCTTATGCTGTGCTAGTTCCATGTGTCTCAAAACCCAGTGCAGTCTATTTCTTCTCACATAAAATAATTCAAATGAATATTTATTACTTAAAATAATGTTGGTAATAGTGTTGAATTTTCAATAGCCATTACTCCAGTCTTTAGTGGCACATTATCTATCCATCATTTTTTGAATAATTGTTTGCTGCTATTTTATATATTATTGTATATAATATAGTTATATATTATTTTTGTGGAATCAATGATACGCTAACATTTGGGGTCAGTAAGATTAAAAAAGAAAATTATTACTTTTATTCAACAAGTATACATTAAGTTGATCAAAGGTGACAGTAAAGACATTTATAATGTTACAAAATATTTCTAGTTTAAATAAATGCTTTTCTTTTTAACTTTCCTTTAATGAAAGAATCCTAAAAAAAAAAACAGGAAAAATGGTTTTCATTATTGATAATAAGAATCATTATTAATAATTGAGGACTAATAATAATTGATAATAAATAAGCAACAAATCAGCATATTGAAATGATTTCTGAAGGATCATGTGACACTGAAGACTGGAGTAATGCCATCTCAAGAATACATTGCATTTGAAAATATATAAAAATAGAAGGCATTTAAATTGTTATAATATTTCACAATAATAATGTTTTACTATATTCTTGATCAAATAAAAGCACTCTTGGTGACCAAAAGAATAAAAAAATAAAAGGAAATAATTGTGTGTGTGTGTGTGTGTGTGTGTGTGTATATACTGTATATATATATATACACACACATACAGACACAGACAAGGGTAGCAGGGTCTGTATATGCTGTTCTCGTCTGTTTCCAGTTCTGCAGAGCACTGACCACATCCAGCAAATATGATGTCACCAGAGACTACGTCCAAGATTGTCTCCAAGGGCGTGTTGCCATTTATTACCTGCGAGGCCTCCTGGGATGGACTGCTCAGGAACTGGAACGCTGTGATTTTAACTCTCAGATCCACATCACCTAATGAGTGTGTAAATAAGAGAGTCTTAATGTAACCATGATTAATTATACTACACAAATGCATTGTTAGCATCAACATATAGTTCTACCGGAGTATTTCTGGGACAGAAGTGTGCTGAGATCAATCTCAAAGCTGCTAGCAGTCCTCTGTGAGCGGACAGTGTTGTAAAACTCCTTGCATCGACTGTCATCAGGAAAGAGAGGCTGACAGCTGCTCCATGGAGTAGAATGCAGCTCTAGCAAACCTGAAGTCACATCTTGTCTGACTAGCAGCAACCTGAACTCCCACACAGCATCTGTAACATGCATTAGCAATACAAATTATGTACAATATCAAAAAACACTCAAACTTCATTGCTTTATTACAGTGGTTGTTCAACACAACAATTGAAAGCCACAAAAAGCAAGTATTTATATATTAATTTTGTGATTACAGAAGTTAAATACTATATGTTCTTAAAAAAATAGCATTTTGCATTTGCAAAACACAATTTTTAACATTTTATTATATTAATATGTATATAATAATAATAACAATTTGTTAATTTTAATATTAAATAATATAATAATATATTAAATAAACATTATTTAAGTCATCCTGCGGCAACTCTGTAAGGTTGCTGAGGCCCCCTACTGGGCCCCGGCCCTCTGGTTGAACCACTGAATTATAAAACACCTTTGTTCCTCTCCAAACGTTGCAACCAAGAGAGAGCAGCTCCCCAAAGTACGACAGCACCTTGGAGACCATCACCTTGCTCCACATTCAAAATAGCTTTTAGTACACCTCCTACTCTGGATGTCCCCTCTGCTTCATCACGCCAGGCTAAGATCAAGCAAAACAGCATTATGAACACAAAAAAAGATTTTCTAGTTGCCTTTGAGATTTGATTGTTTAGTATGTGAAGTGAATGTGAAGTACAAGGCACATGTAAACCAATTTATTAAATGTCTCTCCGGAATACTCGATTCTGATTGGTCAACGGTGTCGTCTAGCGGTCTATCAGAACGCTCACCTGGGTAACTGAAACCGGTGCTACTTTAATTGTTATGACATCGCTATATCATCTGAAACAGTGGATTATAATGCAGTTTTATACCTGTGATTAACTTCCAGTGTTTAACCCTAAGCAGAGCGTGAACCAATGTGTCAGGACGTAAAGCTCCAAGGCGGATGAAGAGGATGGAGTGCAAATCCTGAGGCTTCTGAGGAGGCAGAGAAACCAAGAGGGGGCGCTTCTCACACAGATGAGTGCACAGCGTTCTCAATGTATGACAGTTCAAATTCTGTGGGGCTAAACAAGATTAACATTACATAAGAAGGGAATAACCTATGTCAAATACATAGTTACATTACACAACATAATCCGTTTACAAAATGTAAATGTAAACAGACATTGCAATATGACATCTATACCTTTAACTTGGCAAAATGCTTAGGTTAAGCCTCAGTAGTAATTATGTTTGTGTTATCAGGTGGAATACGTTCCCTTGTGACCTGTCCCAAATTCAGCAGCTTACTGGTGAAGGACGACTGCAGGACAGTCTCAGTTTTCCACTTGTCTATGTGCACTGTCACATCTGCCAAAGCAAAGACAGAAAGACAACTGTGAGTGAAGCATCAGGACATTTCATTAGAGTGCATATCTCACCGGTGTTTTCTTTCAACCACACATCCATTTTGACCACTTTATTTTAAGATGATTCACGGTTTTTCTGGATATATAGGTTGAACGAGCTGGTGATTCACCGTTTGTTGGACTGACAGGTCATGATTTTAGAGGATCATCCTGATATTCTTGTATTCTTGCTTAGTTGTACATTTCCTATGTTCACACCCATTCTGTTAATGCACAAAGATTCATTCAAATGCATGCTTAAAAATACATTCCTACAAAAACAGTAAACACTACTGTTTGAAAGTAACATGCATGACCTTAAAATCAGGATTTTTAAATAGATGGTGTAGTCTATCACGTTTTTTCTGGATATATAGGTTGAACGAGCTGGTGATTCACCGTTTGTTGGACTGACAGGTCATGATTTTAGAGGATCATCCTGATATTCTTGTATTCTTGCTTAGTTGTACATTTCCTATGTTCACACCCATTCTGTTAATGCACAAAGATTCATTCAAATGCATGCTTAAAAATACATTCCTACAAAAACAGTAAACACTACTGTTTGAAAGTAACATAATGCATGACCTTAAAATCAGGATTTTTAAATAGATGGTGTAGTCTAAATAAGTTTTATTATACATTATGTTGAAAACAGTTGCCTGCTTAATATTTTTGTGGAAATCATGACACATTTTTTGAGTATTCTTTATTAATAAAGTTCAAAAAACGTGAGTAAACAACCAAGTTAAATCATAACTTAATTGGTCAATAAACATGAATTCTGATTTATTCTTGAAGCAACTGTATTAAATGAGAGATTGCACAGTGTTTAACATCTTACACGTTTTATGAATTAACATAAAATCAGACTTTGTTTGGACACTTGGCAACGATACAATATAAAAAGTGTTAATTCATAGATCTAAAGGAGGAGGTCTCAGTGGTTTCACCTGTAATGAGCAGAATTTCTCCTGGAAAAAATGTCAGAGCCCAGAAAGCCGCTGTCCTCCATAACACCACCTTCATCTCCACGTCTGATTGGTCTGTAACAATCAGTGTTGCTAAAGGTACACTGGTTCCAGCCGAAGCTCCAGTTTTCACTTTGACTTCTTTTAAGTGGCATGGATGCACCACAGCAACCAAGATGTTGTATCGTACACCATGAGTCTTACACCTGGCCAGCAGGGTTGTAAGGCCACAGAGGGGGGCAGCAATTGTTCTTGCCCTCTGCTTTGTTTCTTTAGTTTTACTTACAGTCTGAGACAACTTCATCCTTTTAGAAGTAGTGGGACTAAGTGAAGTTTGTGCAATTGTAGATGGTGAGTCAATATTAAACCCAACTTCCTCATGACCCACAGGTTTTTCAGCCATAGCATTACCTTGAGAGCAGAGGATACCGTCAGTTGTGATTTCCAGAATCACCCCTCTCTCCTGCTGTCTTTGACTTAGACTCTCATTATGCCACTCTTCTGAGCTTTGCAAGGTTCCCCCCAAGCCCCTCTCTTCAGGGCTGACCACAGGACTGTACAATTCTGGGGAACTTATAGATGATGAGGGCGTTTGTTTGGGAGGGGTGTGTGGAGAACCAAGAAGAAAGTCATCAGGAAAGTCAGAAGTTGGACATTGGGCCACTCTACCTCGAAGAAGCAAGGCTTGGGACTTTGTCCATGTACTCAGATATTCAGTCTCTGTGGAAACAGGTGATGTAGGCCTTCCATCTCTGCCTTGTCTACTCAAACTATGCGAGCAGAAGCAACTATCTAGGTATTCTGTCACTAATACAGGACACAATTCATCTTCTTCAACAGACTCTGCCTTTGACTGAGAGCACTGGCTGCCCGATGGAGTGCCGTCATCCTGTGATGTTTCCGTTTTGTCCTCAGTATTCTCAGATACTCTGTCAGAGGTAACAGCAGTTTGCATTCTACCACTAACCATCACAACACACTCATCTGTTTGGGCTTCTCTAATGATGTCTTTGGGAATCAACTTGCCTTGACTCCAAGTGAGGTCTATTGTCTTCCAGGGTGGGGCTGCTCTCTCCTGCACATCTTCAGCGAGTGCTTGGGGACATGGGGCACCCAAAAAGACATGAATCTTTGGTTTGTGTGCCATTTTCCTGTCCTTAGAACACTGATATTGGCCCAGTCATGAGATTGCCAGGGCTTCTACTATATTTGCAGATAGATTAAAGTGGCCATCTGTAAGAAAATAGAAATGCATACTGTTAGTTAAAACATAGACAAAAGTCCACAAAATGATTAAAGGATTGGTTCACTTTCAGAATAAAAAATTCCTGATAAATTTACTCATCTCCATGTCATCCAAGATGTTCATGTCTTTCTTTCTTCAGTCGCAAATAATTTTTTTTTCTTCAGTCGTAAAGTTTTTGGAGAAAAACATTCCAGGATGTTTCTCCATATTGTGGACTTCTATGGTTCCCAACGATTTGAAATTCCAAACTGTCTATTGTCTTCCAGGGTGGGGCTGCTCTCTCCTGCACATCTTCAGCGAGTGCTTGGGGACATGGGGCACCCAAAAAGACATGAATCTTTGGTTTGTGTGCCATTTTCCTGTCCTTAGAAGTTGCACTGATATTGGCCCAGTCATGAGATTGCCAGGGCTTCTACTATATTTGCAGATAGATTAAAGTGGCCATCTGTAAGAAAATAGAAATGCATACTGTTAGTTAAAACATAGACAAAAGTCCACAAAATGATTAAAGGATTGGTTCACTTTCAGAATAAAAAATTCCTGATAAATTTACTCATCTCCATGTCATCCAAGATGTTCATGTCTTTCTTTCTTCAGTCGCAAATAATTTTTTTTTCTTCAGTCGTAAAGTTTTTGGAGAAAAACATTCCAGGATGTTTCTCCATATTGTGGACTTCTATGGTTCCCAACGATTTGAAATTCCAAACTGCAGTTTCAATGGGCTCTACACAATCCCAGCCAAGGAATAAGGGATTATCTAGCGAAACAGTCATCATTTATATACTTTTTTTAACCACAAATGCTCGTCTTGCACTAGCTCTGTGATGCACATGCGCGAATTGACACATTATGTAGTCACGTTGGAAATGTCATGCACGGTTAGTTCTTCGTCTGTGTACTTAGGGTAGGGTGAAAAACTCCATCTCATTTTCTTCTCCAACTTCAAAATCGTCCAACATCATTGTTTTACTTTTTTTTTTTGTAAAGGGCGTTTGACTTTCTTTGCATGTTTGCTTTGTAAACACTGGGTCGGTACTTCTGCCCACGTCACATGTGACCTTTCCAACGTGATTACGTAATGTGTGAGGTTGGGCTAGTGCAAGACAAGCATTTGTGGTTAAAAAGTAAATGAATTTTAGTTTTTAAGAAAATTACAGTTTGTTTAGCTAGATAAAGACCCTTATTCCTCGGCTGGGATCATGTGTCCTTTGAAGCTGCATTGAAACTGCGGTTCAGACCATCGGGAACCATATAAATCCATTATATGGAGAAAAATCCTGGATTGTTTTCCTCAAAAAACCTTCATTTCTTTGCGACTGAAGAAAGAAAGACATGAAGATCTTGGATGGCACGGTGGTGAGTAAATTATCAGGACATTTTTGTTCTGGAAGTGAACTAATCCTTTAAAGGCATAGTTCAGCCACAAATTACAATTCTGTCATTATTTACGCACACTCGTGATTTTCTTCCACAAAGACAAAAGAAGAAGTCATTATAATCCATAATTATGTCCCCACTGGATGCAACGAATGCCTCGTTTATAATGGGTTTTCATGTTTTTGAATCATCGCTCCGGCCTGACAGGGCATCATCACAGTATGTGAGGGGCGTAACATTTCCGTCACACGCTTGAGATATTCGGCCAATCATAACGCACTGGATAGCTGGCCAATCAGAGCACACCTCGCTTTTTCAGACCGATGAGCTTTGTAAAAACGACTTGTTTCAGAAAGGCGGGGCATAGAGGAGAAACAATAATGTACAGTATGTGGAAAATAATGTGTTTTTAAACTGCATAAACACATTTCATTACACCAAATACACAAAATAATGTTCTTTTTAGCAGCATCATATGACCCCTTTAACTAAAACTTAAACTAAAACTATTAAAAAATATTTTAATTAATTGAAATAAAGCTGAAATAAAACATAAATATTAGTTAAAAAAATTTAATAAAATAAGTTTAGGCTGAAGTACAAAAATTACTCAAACTGAAATAAAATTAAAGCTAAATAGAAATATTAAAATAAAAAATAAAATAAAAATGACAAAACGCATAACAGAATTACTAACATAAAAAGTAAAATGAAAAGTGAATGTATAAAAATAAAAGCCAATTCAAAAATGCTAATAATATTATCAGAATATATAAATAATAAAATTACACTGGCTATTCAGCTATTCTATTAAATATTATCAAAAGCCACACAGCTGAAAATGCTAAATTACAGTAAAGGAAAATTCCAAGCAAGTTCATTGAGAAAGAAAAGCATGAATCTACTAAAAACCTCCACAGCTGGTGGGAATAACTGAGAGGATTTTAATGTGTCTGTGCAAGTGTGCATTCCTCAGATCAGTTGTTTTCACTTAGGAAAAGAACAAAAACAGCAGTTTAATGAGTGACTCTCCAGAAATTCACCAACCAGATACTGGGTGTAGGCACCACATGAGCCAATAACAGAGCAGTACAGGCTTCTTTCAAACCAGTGTGATTTATTGCAGGCAGAATTTGTAGACGGAGATGGAGGGGTGGTATACTAAAAAGAAGAAAAAAGACTGAAAAAAGACTTGCTTTTTTTTCTTGCTTTAGCTGATTCTCACGTGCATTCAAGGTGAAAGGAAACCATGTGAAACAAACATGAATACAAACATATGAACATATGGCACATGTGTTTTAAACAATTTATTTGTCTTGATCATGGACACTTTTACTATATATGAAAAAAAGGAATCCATTGCCTTCTCCACATATATGATCCTCAGAGGCAATGGAGCATGTACACATTAAGACTGCAAAAAACAAGCACAAATTCTTCCCTGGAAAACAATCAAAGAGGCCCTGCAAGAGCTGATCTCCAGAGCAGGATGTATTTCAGGCAGGAACAAATTACAGCAGACACAAAGAAGATATGACATAACTCCTCATGTCACTGTAACCGCAGGTGAAATAAAGGAGGACATCTGGATTTACTGAACATACTACACTGAACAACTGCTAGTGCTAATACTACACTGTAAGACCCAACGAGTTAAGGTAACAAACCATTGAGGAAAATGATTGCTTTAAACATTCAAGTTAAAAATAATTATTAATTTGAGTCCACAAAAAGAGAATAAAAATCAGTATAAATCCATGTATAAATCAATGTATAAATCCGCTCAAATACCTTCTGTAGCCAAGACTTAACTAAATTGCATAAACTTCACCTTAATCTCTTGCAGTTAATTGTGAGCTAGGTAACTAATTATATAATTACATATGACTATTACTAATACTAAGCTGCTGTGTGCAGCATATATTCTTAATGTTATTTGGCCCATCCTTGAACTAATCACATGCTCTACCCACAAAAAAAAAGTGTTTGAGTTATGCTTAATATAATCAGTTCATTCAGTTTTTTTCTATTAAGCACAATGAACTTTCAGTAGCATTTAACTAAAATGATCTTGCTTCATTTAGTAAATTTTTCTGTATGGTCTCAGGTAGGAAGCAGACACTTTAACTGATTTATGAGACTGGAGTTATGAAGCTAATCCATCATGGGCTGGAAAAGGCCAATAACCCTGACACTAACTAATCACAGTCAGCAGGGCCTCTGCTGACTTCACATGACCTCAGTTGAGCAAGAAAATGACAGCCTGGATAAGCGAAAACAGAAAAACCTCCTGCCCTTTATCACAGAAATAACTATATTTAAATACTGTTAATATGCACTGAGTATGAATGAATCTGCTGTGTGTTTGTTTGGCTTCTAACAAATTACTAGATAAGCACAATTAACAAAGTAGAGTTATGACGAATTGGAAAAATGTTGTAGTCCTTCTATAGCAACTTAAAAATTCACATTCAAGATATGACTGTAACTTGAAAGTCTGCTTAACGTAACATTAAGCATATACATTTTGCATTCTCCTCTTTTTATGTAGATTTCAAGTATTTTAGTTCATACAATAATACATTTATTTCAATCCTCTGTTGGAAAAAAAATAGAAAGCATCACATAATTTGTAATGGTTTTACTGGTTATAATGAAAATTGTATTGGTTTTAATGGAAACTGAAATGGTGCCTGCTGGTCTCTACTGGTAATTGGTCACCTTCTATTCATGGCTTTTGTTAAAGCCACTAAATCCTAATGTAATATGTCCCAAAACACTACAGGAAACCATTTTTTAATGGTTTTAATGGTTAAAGGTTGATGGTTTGTAATATTTGTAATGGTATTTGTAGTGGAAATCATTTACATTTTTTGATGGTTTCCATTGTTTTTGTCACCAGGGTCACCATGGGTTTTGTGATGTTATTTGCCATAAATGCGACAGGATTGCTGTAATATAGTGAGATAGTAGCGTCTGTTTGTAGTTGTGGCGGGCCTATTTGGGAGAAAATCCAGGGCCATTTTTTACTCCCAGTCCATCCCTGAGCACAATTTATGTGAGCACACTTTATTAACCTTATTTTACTCATAAATCATAGCAATGCTAAAACACAGAAAATATTCCAGGGGGAATCACGGCTCAAAAAGCAAATTCTCTATAATAGCACATCCTTAGACAACAATACTTTCAAAAAAGTAGGTTAATTATGTTAAAGGCATCAGTCTGTTTTGAAAACCTTTTTCAGGTGGCATTCCTTGCTATAAAAAAAGAAAGAAATCTGTTACACTATTTCTTAACCTCCCCCCAACCCCCCATTCTGGTCGTGACACTTATACAGTCCAGTACTTCAAAGAACATTTCCCCAAAAAAATTAAAAACATTTTAAAGAGGTATTACGTTTATTTCATGGACAGCAGCAACTTTATACTTGTACATATTGTTTCAATACTTTTTCCATAAGTTCAAAGCGCAGTGTTTGCTTACGGGTTCCTGCTCTTTGAGCGCCTCCCAGCTTGAGGTGGAGACC